TTCTGGGTTTCCCTGAAGGTGGCTGTCCCGCCTCCCTCAACTGTGCTGTAAGGTAGATAGATATCAGCCAATGTAAACGCGCACGTGTAATCCCATACGACCTGTTTACCTTCCCTCCATGGCTGCAGGGTGACTCCATCTGGGCATTTTTGGCTGTTGTCAGGTCTGCACAACTGAGGTTCCCTTTGTGCTGGACACCCAGCTGTAGCCAAACTTCTCTTGATGATGTCATTGACTGCTTCATGTCTGGCAATCTTTCCCTGTGTCTTACGACAGATGAGACCATGGCTGCCGTATTGGTCTGCCCGTGCATGGCCGCAAATACACCAATGTTCGGTGGAGATAGGGGCAGCAAGGCAACACCAATACTTAGGGCCCGATGATCCAGTCGGGTGCCCGTGGCGGAATTTGGGACTGCCAACAGGAAGTCTCTGGCATGGGGGGGGGGGGGCTTGCACAGCTAGAAGACACACTCTGTCCTTCTCAGAAGCTGCCTCCAGCAATGCTGTGGCAATGTTCTCCACTATGGGCTATCCCATTTGGCCTGTTTGCCGTCATTTGGAAAAGTTTGGTCGAGGGTGTGAGTTGGCAAAAGTCCCACTGACCAGCTCCTTCCGCAAATTTGGGATCATGAATCCCGGTGAATTTTCTTAGGTATTCTGGTAGTATTTCATTCACTAAATCACTTGTAGCACTGGTCGAGGATAAGAATGCCAGCAATGCTAACTGTGTCGTCTTGCGAATACCTATACCCCCAAGTCTAACTGGGGAGCATTACTTGGTCCCATTGGTCATCTTGTAGGGAGAGGTTTAACACTTTCATAGTTATTGACTAGGAGTGAATCACTCCGTTAATTTTGGGCTGTCGAAGGAGGGAGCACACATTAGGAAATAGGTACGTCTGGGCAAAGCCAGGCACCTTGTGAGAAGGTACAAAGCATCGTGAACATCCAAAGCCCCTATTCTTCCCTACATCCTCCTCAGGTCTTTCAGCTTTTCTTTTAGGATTACCTCAATGGCGCTCGATCCCAGAGGCGCCCCTTAGCAGCACACTGTTGGTGGGAGCAATCACTGGGGCTCCTGGCAATGTGATTCTTACTGCAGCTATGATTGGTTGGCTTGACGAGATGATTTCACACTTTGATTGGTTTAGGGTGAGGCCTAACTCCTCTCCCTTAGATTTCTCTAGCTGTAGATCTCCTATTAGGGATTCCTGTGTCCCTGCCAGGGTGCCACCCTCCAGGAACCAGATGTTGAATTCACTGGTCAACCTGCTTGTGACCTCTATGGCTGCCATGCAGAAAAGGGAAGGGGCAAGTGGGTCTCCCTGCTGGACACCTGAAGAAACAATTTCATGTTTCCCTAACAACAGTGTCGATTCCCTACTGTACCCTGCTGAAACGAAGGGAAGTAGACAAGGAAAGCTTGTTCGAACTGCTTCCAGTTCCACATCCCTTTTTACCTGGTTGAAACCATTTTTAAAGTAATTTAATTAGGCAATAAAGCATCTAAATTATTGGGATCGTCTCAAAGCTCTCCGAATGTACTCGCTAGAAAGGCTTGATGCCTTATTGATGCCTTATTATTGCTTGATGCTTTATTTTCTGGGAGGTGCTTAATATAGGCTCATGTTGCATGAGCTGCTGCTTCAGTCATGGGGGACACCAAAACCTAGTTGATGGGGTTGGAGCACCATTGCAGCTTCTATGCTAATTTTTCTGACAGCTGCCCTAGCAACAAGGCGACGAAGCGTGTTCCCACGGCAATGGGTCTGACACCACCATCCTCCTTAAGAGCACAGAGAGATGCTCTGAAGAAGGGTTTAATTGTATCTGGGATCAGCCCAGATATCTGGTTACCTGGTTGATGGGGTTCTGGGAGTTCTTCTTCTCCCCAAGCCCGGCCCGAGGCCAGGCTTGACTTGAGAGTTTTGTCCACTAGGCTGTTGCTTGGAGCGGCCCGCAGGCCCATATACCCACCGCAGCTCGGTTGGTCCGGCACTCCTTGGAAGAAACTATCTAGTTTCCTCTTGAAGGTGTCCACTGTTCCGGCAATATTTCATATGCTCACTGGGAGTATGTTGAACAACTGTGGACCTCTGATGTTTATACAGTTCTCTCTAATTGTGCCTATGGCACCCTTGCTCTTCACTGGTTCTATTCTGCATTTTCTTCCATATCGATCACTCCAGTATGTTGATTTTTACTGTGCAGATTTGGGACCTGGCCCTCCAGTATTTTTCATGTGTATATTATTTGATATCTCTCCCGTCGTCTTTCTAGCGAGTACATTTGGAGAGCTTTGAGACGATCCCAATAATTTAGATGCTTTATCTCGTTTATGTATCCTGTGCATGTTCTCTATACTCCCTCTATTTCAGCAATCTCTCCTGAGGGGCAGTCGTCAACAAACTTCGTGACCTCTGACAGCAGTGTCTCGATAAAATCGCTGAGAACTGGGTTTGCCATCTCCTTGAGGTGCTGAGGTCTTACTCCAGTGTATCCTCTGCTGAACCTGGCAGAAATGACATGGCTTTGTATACCTTTGATGCTTGAAGAAATAGAGGTCCCATGTCCGGGACATTTGTGTCCCGAGCAGTGGATTCCCATGGTACTCTGGGAGGGTGCTTCACTCTCAGTGAGTCAGCAGTTGCAGTATTTCTAGGGGCGATTGTTTCTTCACTGGTAAGTAACCTAATTACCCCTACTGTGTTGCCATCTAAAAAATTCACTTACCTGAGCAGATCTGTATATTTCCCGGCTACAAGTGGGCACGCTGCTTTTGGAATGTGGGGAAGAGTTCTGGTGGTGAATGCTTTGATGGCCCCCAGGAGGTCATCTGATGACATGAAGTTTGCTGGAATGTGTGGGGGTGCCGGGGGGACTTGTGGGCCTTCTCCTTCTCTACAGGTTCCGTCCATGAACCCTCACAGCCGTTGTTGGCATAGGGTTCCATCGTTTCTAAGTCTGTGAGATTCGTCACAAACCCGACACGTTCCTCTGGGCGCACGTCTGGGTGCATTGTTCCCTGGTGATGGTCTAGTTGTGAGAAGAAATTATATGATCCTTGATGGAGCCCTGTTGTTTATGCATTGTTAATCGCCTAGAAAGAGACATTGTCTTGCCTATATTCTGAGTTCTTTGGGGCTTTACAGTCCCCAAAGCAGGCATGTGTAGGCATAGACAACGTTGGTTTCCTTCAAGGCGTTCTGTTTGGTGTCTGACAGACACCAAACAGAATGTTTGACCCAAAGAGCTCAGTATAGTTTTGGAACCCAAAGAACTCAGTATATGTACATACCAATGTCTAGTCAACGTCTCTGATAAAGCACTCAAGAGAGTTTGAAAAACTAGGTGTAATTTCTTACATAAATTTCACAAATACACAAGTGTGGGTTTTTATCGTATTTTATTATTTCTTTGAGATGACATTACCATTACTAATACAAGTTCATTATAACACTAGATTTGCTGTCATATTTCTTAATTATGAACATAATTTCAGGTGCAAATTAAAATGTTGAACGATTCTCAGAGCACCTTAATGTGTACCTCGACATTCATTGTGCGACACCGTTGTGTTTGTTCACCATCATCGGAAGGTCTCAGTGGTGGTGCAATTTTCTTCATACTGTAAGTTCTTTCTGCATTTCACTAGGATTTTTTTTTCTGGGGGGGGGGGGAGCACTGTTGGCTCCCCAGAGCTATCCAGGCCGAATGGATATGTATAATTTTCTGGCATCAGTCAAAGTTGCACGGAGTTCTTGCCTACAGGGGACCATGAGCCAGAACCTGTCCCCCCCATCCTCCCTCTAGAGAGGCATGAGGAGCAACGGCCTATAGAAACCCTCGTGTGGTTGGGAGCATACTATGTGTACCATCGACCGGATCTAGCACCCAGAAAGATAGGCGCCCCAAAACAAACCCTTATTCTGGGGAAACTCTTGCTACCAAGAACCGAACGAGTGGACAGAACTCCCCAATATAATTAGCAAACGAGCATGTCGTCATCATGTTGCCGTGCCGCTGTCTGTGCAACCCCCCCCCCCTTCCCCTCCAGGAAAGGAAGCCCCAGACCCCCATGCCGGCAATCCTCCCTTCAATTCCCAGGTTGATGTGCTACTGTCGTGGTCTTGTGCCTCTGGCTCCTGCGATTTGTCTCAGATTCTATGCCTTTTGCCGTGGACTGTGTCTACTGGTGGTGTGCGAGCCAGGAGTAATATTCTTTGGTACTCGGGCTGCATGCACCTTGAGCCACCTTCCCTAAGTGCCCTATAAGTACTACCTTTGGGGCTTGGGGCCAACTTCTACAAGTTGCCTCAGGCTTCTTCCTCCTCCTCCCTCCTCCTCCCTCCTCCTCCCTCCTCCTCCTCCCTCCTCCTCCTCCCTCCTCCTCCTCCCTCCTCCTCCTCCCTCCTCCCTCCTCCCTCCTCCTCCTCCCTCCTCCCTCCTCCTCCCTCCTCCTCCCTCCTCCTCCTCCCTCCTCCTCCCTCCTCCTCCCTCCTCCTCCCTCCTCCTCCCCCCCCCCCCCCCCCCCCAGCTGTGTCTTTTACTGCTCGGTACTTGGCTGCCCTTGGAGTCAACTGGGGTCTTTGTTGCCCATGTTTGCCTCTGGGTAAGGGGTAGTTTTCATCACTGGTAGGGGTGTGCGGGGTACTGCACAGCTAGTTTTCTCCTCTTACAGCGGTCGGCTCTGTTCCACCTGAGTACGTTGTCCTCTTGCGGGAGTTTTGCTTTTATTTTTCTACCTGATGAGGGGGTCTGCCTTTTTGGTGGTTTCAGGACCATCATCTTATGCGGAATACTGTTCTCTTATCGTGCGGCGCTGGCGAAGCCACTCCAGCTTGCATTCAGTATTGATGTTATATCGGCTCCATTCCGCAAGTTGTCTCGTGCGTTGTTTCACCTCCGGCCTACTCATGCGTCGCCCGAGCCTCCCAGGTCCTTGGACTGGGGGCTCTCTCTCCTCTTCGGTTTGCGGTGGGGCCCCTTCGGTTCAGGAATATTTTCAAAGGATCTTTTCTTGTTGGCATTGGCCTCTGTCGGGTCAGGGAGCTTCATGCTCTCCTTCGGCGCAGGGGTTTCTGCTCTTCTGGTCCTGGTGGCAGGTTTGTTTGGTTGCAGCTGTCTTCTTCTTTTCTGGTGAAGGATGAGACTGCTGCTTTCCGGAAGGGTCCTTGGGTTGTTGATGGTTGGTTGGTCAGGCCAGGGGTGCATCATGTCTTGTCTGGTTGCAGCTCTCCGGCGTTATTTGCGCGCCATGGCTTTGATGGCCAGGGATGCGCTTTGGGTTGATTTGGTTTCCTTTCTTCCCTGTTCCTGGGCTCGGGTCTCCCAGGTCATCCGCAGGATTAAGGCTAGCCAGCCTGCGGTCTATCCTCGTGCCCACGACACGCGTAAGTTTGCTGCTTTGGCTGCCATCTTTGGCAACATGTCTTGGGTTGACATTCGGGCACGGGGTTTTTGGAGGTCAAACAGGGTCCTGGCCGCTCGCTACCTTATCAATGTTCCTGGTCCTCGTAGGGCCTGCGTTGCACTGTTTTTCCTTGTCTTTGGGTAATTAGCTCCGGGGATCCGAAGGGGCTTCCCCCAGAAAACCAGCGTGGAATGTAATGAAACGCCATTTTCTGGGTGAGTCCTGGAGGCTCCCCAGCATCCCTCCCTTTCTCCCGGTCAGCAGTGTTTTCGCATATTTTGATATCCAGCCTAAGAACTGAAGGGTGGATTGCCAGCGTGGGGGTCTGGGGGCCCCCCTTCCCCCCTCCCGGGGAGGGGGAGGCGCAGACAGCGGTGCAGCAACATCATGACGTCAGGCTCGTTTGCTAATTTTTGTTTAGGGAGTTCTATCCACTCGTTCGGCTTTCGGTAGCAATAGTTTCACCAAAATAGGGGGTTTGTTTTGGGGCGCCAACCTTTCTGTGTGCCAGATCCGGTCGATGGCAGACATAGAATGCTCCCAACCACACAGGGGTTTCTATAGGCCATTGTTCCTTGTGCCCCTCTTGAGGGGAAGGCCAGGTTCTAGCTAATGGTCCCCAGTAGGCAAGAACTCTGTGCACATTGACTGATGCCAGAAAGTTATTCATATTCATTTAGCCTGGATTGCTCCAGGGAGCCTCCGGGACTCTCCCAGAAAATGGCGTTGCATTACATTTAAAACTGGTTTTATGAAACTTTAATAAAGGGTACCATATGTTTGTTTAGATTGTTTAATGTTTTCAACTCCATTCTCTTGTGAATGGTTTTTATAGTAATTGTTTACTAATATTTTCCTACCAGTGAACAGAACCAATACGGCACCATCTTGCTGAGATGGCTCCCACCTGCTAGGTTACATCAGCCACAGAGTTTTGTTTGGCCTACTAGGGACCAGAGCCAGAACCTGGCTCCCCCCTCTCAGAGGTGCAGAGAGCGGGAGACATCCTCTGCCCCATCGGAAAAGCACCCAGAAAAATCAATGAACCAATACGGGCCACTTCTAGATTCAGAGAGACTGAAGCCTCAAAAGACCCAAATGAACTACCCAATGTAAGCAAATGATCAAAACACTCAAACTGACATTAAGATGGAAGAATGACCATGAAGGAACAGGAAGTGATGAAAGAGGGCCAAGCTACTTCATATTGCTACCAGGAAAAGAAATGCATGTGGAACACCATCAATTCAGATAGAGTAGCCTAAGCTACTCTATCCCTTTGAGATGTATTTCTTTCTTATCTCAATAAACATACTTGAACTTGAATTCAGTCACCTCCTCACCATTGAGATGGCAATAGGTGTAACGGGGGGGGGGGGGAGAATGAAGAGAAACGAAAAGTAAAATAGAAAGAATGAAGTACTGAGTGAGGGTTTGGGGTGAGGGAGATAAGAGAGGAGGGAAGATTAGGTAGGAGGAGTGAGGAGTGTCGTCAGGTGAGAGGGAAAGTGGGAGAGAGGCAGAGGAGGAGAGGGAGTAGGGAGTGGTAGAGGTAGAAGGATAGATAGGCAGAAGTAAAAGTTGAAAGTGCTGCCACCATCCATTCTAGTCAGTGCATACAAGACAAGGAATAGAACTTGTCTATATCCCAAACTTATCCAAGGAGTTCATGTATCAACTCTAAACATGTATTCATTAACCCTTAACATGCTCGGGGTTTAATATCCTGTCATCCCCACAGGCGCATGTCATTTTGAAAAAAAAAAAAAAATCCTCCTAACCTGTTAATTTGTGTTCACTGATCACGGGAAAAATAATAAAAAAATCGTAAGTGGCATATATTGCCCGCTATAGGGCAGGGAAGTCTGGCAAATTATAGGCGCTGACTCAGCATGCGTCCCAGGCGGTCTGTTGCTCGCCAGCTGTCAGGCCGGAGTTGCCACAAAGAGATAATTACCTAATTATTTCAATGTCTCTGATAGATTTTTCATAGTTTTTTTTTGCTGTAATATTATTCAATAGTGTGTAGTTTGATATATTTATATAATAAAATGAGTGAATCATTGCTGTACTCAAAAATATGGTGTGCATATTGTTGATTCAATTATGTTCATCAATTATTGAACAAATACTTTGTCGGTTATTACACTATAAGCACAGGTTATATATAAGTATCTGCATGTTTTGTTCACTATAACGAACCACTAAGTAGCTATTATGAGTCAAAAAGTAATGAGGAGTGACCGCCATGTACCAGCCAGCCACTCCCGCCCTCCCTCCAGTCATCTGGCTCACCCACATTCTCCTCCCACAATACTGTTTTTTCTATAATTCACTATATACAGACGTTATATATAAGTATCTACATGTTTTGTTCACCATAACTGTACATCTAAGCTTGTATGGCGAGTAAAGGCACAAAGACGTAGGACCTCACACAGTCAGCTGATGGCTGCCGCCCTCAAGGCCAGATGCACTAATATTTCTCCTCCAACAATACTGTGTGGTGTTATTACACTATATACACACATTATATATAAATATCTACCTGTTTTATTCACCATACTTATACAAATAAACTGGTATGGTGCCGAAAGACCAGCGTGGTAACCAGTAAACAACACCGTCGTCTGCACGGTGGCGTCGTGCAGACGACGCCACCGCCCTCACCAAAATGGCAGTTCCAAACCTTCTCTTGCTGTTTATACCCTCTATACACACGTTATATATAAGTATCTACATTTGTGTTCACCATAGCGAACCACTAAGCTGGTATGCTGAGTGCAGTCAATAAAAGGTGGCCACACACAGTCAGAAGACATCGCCACCATCCTCCCTCCCACAGCATTACTCCTCCCTCCATGGCGCACAGCACTAAATATCACCACAATCCTGCTATTGTCAGAACCCTGGTCAGTTTTATCACAGTCAGGGGTCTTCTGTAATATCATCATCGCTACATAATAGCATGATCAAGTATATTTTGGCATTTTTAGGCAATGCTGTGGTCACAAGCTGAACAGCAGTGCTGTTAGCTCATGCTGCGTGCGTCAGGCTTGGTTGCTCACTCAATACTGAGGCCAATAACACCCGGGAGTTTGGCCTACGATTTTTTTTTAAAATGGCGTCTGTTTACAAGAGCCCTGATGAAGGTATGGTGAACCCCGTGTATCCGCGGGCCGTTTAAATCTTGCGTAGTACTCCAACACATCATATGACGTGATGCGCAGTTGACTGGAACAATGTCCAACACGTCATATGACGTGATGCGTACTTTAAGGGTTAAAATCATCAAATCAGTAACCGCAGAGGCTCTCTCGCCTCAACTCAATGCTCTAGGGAACAAAGTTAAAGACAATTTAAACAATAAGTTCATCAATTATATTTCACATAAGTACTGTATCATAATTTAAGCAATTCAACTTAATGTTCAAGATTAATATACAAAGTGAGTCATTACACAAGAATTTGAGAACCCTACAGCTGTCTGCCCCTGATAATCATACAACATGTTAGTAAACACGCCTAAGTCACCTTCACATTTAACTCACCGAGGACTTAGCCTAATTTGAATAGAGAGGAGGTGGAGGGGGTTGACAGGCAGTCCCCCCACCCAGCCTGACTGGCTACTGCTAACTGCTCTGCTCTGCTCTGCTGTACTATGTTGTGCTGTTCTCCTATTGCTCTCAAATGTACAGCTCCCTGGGTTTTTATTGCGAACCTGGGAGCTAAACTCCGCCCACAAGTAGATAGCTCCAGGCCATCTATCAAGCCACACCTTAAGCAGCGGCTTGTTTGAAGGACACACCCGGCTATTATCGGCTTAGCAGAAACAAGGTCAATTTCACACAACCTGACCTCAGGTCAGTTTGTCGTCATTAATACTTAAAGGTGTGAATTCTTAACAACGGTCAGGTCCGACAACTTGACGCCTCTCAAAATCTTGTCTGACTTGACTCGTGTACTATGTATACAGTATATTAAATACAAAACATCTTTACGGTGTTACATAGGGATACGTCAAAAAGACCATATGGGAAGAGCTGAGAAGTTTGAACCAGCTAGATACATCACCTGACCAATATTTTGAAAAAGGTGGAAAAGCCGAAAAATGTCCGGGTTCAGACACCATGCAAGCAGCACCTGAAACCAATGCTGAACCAGCCACCAAGGAGCCAAAAGGACCATCTTTTCCTGGTATAGGATTCCAGTCTGGCCAGGACTCATAGCAACAGCTGGACCAGGAGAAAGAGGTAAAGAAACCCCGACTGTGACCAGTCCAGCTAAAAGGCATCCACAGCGAGGACTCACGATTGGTAAAGTGAGCCACGTTGACAGGAAGGCACCAATTCCAACCTGAGGTTAAGCGATCCATGTTGGGGCTCATAAATTTGGCAGTAAATTTATGAACAATGCATTGACTGATAAGCACATTCTGCTACACTTAGGCATTTTTTTTCTATTTACAGAGGTTCCCTTGCATCAGGAAAGGTGCTGGACTTTGGGGTTGAGATCAGTACTACCGCCTGGTGATTAGTGGAAAAAGTAAATGTGTCGAACACGAGTCTCAAATGGGAACACCACAGTTTGTCACCCACATGCTATTGTTACTGAGAATTACTGGAGATGTAGGCTGAAAGAAAACAAAGGACACTCGGTCCTGTAAATGCTACTACATAGTCAACTGATTGTGGCTAATCCAGCTGAAGTGCAGTTAAGATTATCAAGATCCAAATAATGGAAAAGCTCAACTTACATTAAAAACTTGTCCCTACCTGCTAACCAACATGGACACTGGCCTGGTGGTGTGGTGCTGGTATTGGGAGCAGTGGTGCCACCTGGTGTGGGCTGAGGTAAACTAGTGTAGTGATTAGTTTAGCCTGCCGCTGAAAGTCACTGACAGGTGACATCATGAGCGGGAGGGGCGTTGTTATTTAAGATTAGTTTATGAACAAACCTTCTAGCTGTCATTCTCCATTGACTACTAAGCACATTGTATGTACCTGGGATGTTTTGAAAATATCAGTGGCACTTTGTTCTGTGGCATCTATCAATCATGCTTGACTTGAGTACTTTTAATATAACACAGTGAATCCTATACCTTAGGGAGTAGTTAAATTATCTGCTCAGAAAGACTTTTTTCATAAGCTCCAAGCCTTATTTTTTAGTAAAATTATTATTATTATTACAGTATTTAGGTGAATTGTTTATTATTATTTGAGAAAATCAATTGGAGCAATGCTGGGATTCGAACCCTAGACCTGAATATTCCCAAGCTGCACACATTACCTTTGGACTATGATTACATAGCCTTCCCGGTTTGGTGCCTTCTTTTGATAATTAATTACTTACTTACTTTGGACTATGATTTGGTATAAGTTATACAACCTAGGATTCCACTGAATCCACAGGTCATCTGGAAGCCCCCAATGAAGCCAGTCCAGGTATTACATATAACCCTCATGCACTCTGGTACAGGTAATGGTGCTTTCTACTTTGTTCCAGCTTCAAATACTCTAGGAAATCACAATGTGATGTGTACGAGAAAATAATTTTAATCAATGTGGAGGTTCCAGGTTGTATACCATACCACGTTGTGGTCTAAAGCCAAGGTGCATGGCTTTGGAATAACCAGGTTGAAGGTTCAAATTCCCACATTTCTGCGATTGATTTCATCACTGATAAATCACACAAGTGTGATTTATTTGTGTATTATTATTTGTTATAAGAACACATACTTATGTTAGCTTTATACATGCATACTGTATATTATTATTATTCGAGTCTTTTTATTTCAGACTGCTGGTAGCATTTCTTGGATACTTCGTCTTTGGCTTCTTCTACTTACGCTTAGTGAAAGGTGCTAAAGGCATTGAGCAGATTCCAAACCGGCCTTTTTGGTTCAGAGTTGGTAACATGCTCGCTGTAAGTTGTAACTTCCCATGCAAACTCTTGATTTCATGTCAGCAATTCTTAACCCTTAATATGCCGCTATCATTAAAGGTGCCACTCTAGCTGTGTACACACACCACACACACAAAAACCAGCGTTGAATGTAATGAAACACCATTTTCTGGGTGAGCCCCGGAGGCTCCCTGGAGCTTATCGGCCTAATGTATGTTATATTAGACCAGGACATTAGCTATGGAGTTCAGACCTATCAGGGACCAGTGCCAGAACCTGGCCCCTTCAGAGAGGTTTCAGGGGGCAATGGCCCTGGAAAACCTCCTAGCGGTTGGGGTTTTCCTCATCTGCCTTCAACCGGGGTTTGGCACCCAGAAAGGTAGGCATGTAACAAACTAGGCTGTTGTAAGAATTATCCAGAGTGGTTTATCGACAAAAGAAGATGGGAAGCTGAGCCCGCATGGTGACCTGACCCCCCAGGGGAATTCGCGGTGGAAATAACCAACGCTTTGTTCATAGCTGCGTATAATGAATCATCCTATAGTATTCAGTAATTTAGAGAAATTAGCCTTTATTCATTTTGCATTAAAATTGTATTGTATAATAGTACTGGATACAATATCAAGAGTATTCTAATTATTGAGTTTAAGTCACCATCAGTGACGTCACGAATCAGATCTAACTTCTAAGGCGGAGTGACCGGCGGTCATAGGTCAGCAGGGTTGACAGGTCTACTATTTCTCAAAGTTTTAATAACCATTTTGGGGATCGGGAACAGCTCTGCCGTTAGATGTTTGTAATTTAATTCAGTAAAATAATTCAACCAGTCTGGATCAATTAAGTACAACAGAGGTTAATTGTTATAACTTAAACCTGGCTAGTAACTTGGTAAAACTTTGACTAGGCGGAAGGATACAATGTTCTAGTCTGGGCTAGGCCAGACGAGGACAAATCAGTGTGATCTGCCGAGCAGCTGGGAGAGGTCAAACATCTTACCTCTCCCCAAGACCAGCCCAACATCCTTAGCTGGAAAACATAGAGGTAAAGTTGGATTGGGCGCCGATTCTAACATCGAATCGGAATTATCATTACCGTGTAATTTATTCCACACTCAAGGTCATCGTTTATAGTGGGGATCAAGCCCTAGGTTGATTAATTAGCGTGATCGATCCAGACCTCGATCATTGCTCTTGTGTTACTGGTCTGGTGGTGGCAGCGTAGAGGCAACTCTAGGGTTTTGTTCAGAGCCTAGGTCACGTCATACTGGGTGTAGAATCCTAAGTCGGTCAATCGTCTTAGGACCACGTGGCGTGGAGTTGGCTTTGGTAAAAGTTTTGGAGTCCCTTGGTAGAGAATAAAAAGTAAGAATACGGGTAGAGGGAGAGAAGGAAGAGAAGTAGTGAGAGGAACCCTAACCAGTGTTACAGGCATAACAACACAAACCCCACATGGTAAGAAACTAAAAAAAAAAATGGAGAGGTAGAAACTCCCTACAATCCCTAAGAAACAAGTAAGCAAGCAAACTTCACACTTTACTGCTGCGCCGATTATTCGTGCAGCCCTCCCCGCCCAGAGAGGGGGAGGGGAGGGCCCGGACCTCACCGCGCGCTGGCTGCCTAGTACCAGTTCAGAAGCTGAGCTTTAACCAACGCGAAAAAAATGCTGACCAGTGGGAGGGAGGGTGGCCAGGGAGCCTCCGGGGCTCACCCAGAAAATGGCGTTTCATTGCATTCAACGCTGGTTTTCTGTGGGGAGCCCCTATGGCTCCATGGAGCTTCATACCCAAAGAGAAGGAAAAGAAAGGGCTGACCCGGGAGGCGGCCACCACAAACTCTGCAACGCTAAGTCGAGACAACAGGCAGCAACCCAAAGCAACACAAGAATGCACAGGAGCAGACACGCTCACAAATGAACTGGCGGCCAGGAACCTGTGCAACCCCCAAATCCTCACGCCTGAAATGAGCCAAAGACGTCACCAAACACGGCAGCGAAAGCTTCGAATGTCCCAACAGCACGGGCGCAAGGATAGACCGCAGGCTAGTAGACTTGAGAAAACTGCGAATGACCTGGGGGGAACCCGAGCACTGAAACAGAGAACGAGGGGGAACCGGATCAACCCAAAGCGCATCCCCAGCCACGGCACACAGGTAACGGTGAAGAGCCGCAACCGGACAACACGTGTTGCACCCTCGGCCGTACCAACCAAGCATCAATAACCAAAGGACCCCTCCGGAAAGCAGCCGTCTCTACCATTGCCAGAAGGACGGAGAAAGGCTGCAAGCGTACAAACCTACCACCAGTACCAGAAGAGCAGAAACCTCTGCACCAGAAGAGAGCCAGAAGCTCGCCGACCTGTCCCACAGAGGCCAATGCCAAAAAAGTATGGCTTTTGAAAAACAATCTTGAACCGAAGGGGCTACCACAAACTGAGAAGAGGAAAGATAAAAGGACACCCAGATCAAGCACCAGGACAGCTCAGGCGGCTCATGACCAGACCGGAGGTGAAACACAACACGAGAAGCATACAGAACGTGGCGGATATGACGTCCACCCCGAACGCAAGCCAAAGCGGCTCAGCAGCGCCGCACAGTACGAGGCGACAGTAAGAAGCATCAATTAACAGTCCTGAAAAAACCAAGAACAGACAAAACAACCCGATGCGAAAGAGAAGACAACCTACGAAGAGCAAGAAAATGGCGAATAGAAACACCAGAAACGTCATACTGTCGCCGAAACGAAGTTCATAGATGGGACACCATCAACTCAGCCACCTGATCACCATAGAGATGGTGATACACCCACATCAGCAGAGTGGACGTGAAGAGCCTAGTAGAAGACCAAACTAGTCACGTACAGGACCGGTCTGACCTGCCAAAAGAGGCGGAGCTGTGGGAAACTCCCCAGATTCAGACACCTATTAAGCAATGTCTGAAAACAAAGCTGGGCCGGCCATCAAAAAACCACGAGGACTACTCTCCTTGGGAAGGACTCCAACCGAGCCAGAACCCGAAGCAACAGCCGGACCAAGAGAAGAGGATTGGGTAACTCCACCTCGACCAGTCCTGCCGAAGGCATCCACCGTGAATGCCTCGCAGGCAGGTAAGGGCGCCACAGAATGGGAAACGCCGAGACCACACTGACGCAAAGATATCTATGTCCAGGAGTCCGTACGTCCGGCAAAGCCAACGAAACGAGTTGGCGACGACCCGCCAAACCGTGAACAGAGGAATGAACAGAGACAGGCCGTCCGCCAGGACATAGGACACCCTGGACATGAAACGTACAGCAACCCGTTCTCGCAAATTTAATAAGTCAATATCGACTTATTAACTACGTGCATAGGTGATATACTAAACATAATAGATACCCTTAAAAAGATTCATAGAAAACACCAACCTTACCTAACCTTGTTAGTATCTTAAGATAAGCATCTTATTGCTCCGTAATTACAATTATTACTTAACCTATACCTATTATAGGTTAGGTAATAATTGTAATTACGAAGCAATAAGATGCTTATCTTAAGATATTAACAAGGTTAGGTAAGGTCGGTGTTTTCTATGAATCTTTTTAAGGGTATCTATTATGTTAAGTATGTCACCTATGCACATATTTAATAAGTCAATATTGACTTATTAAATTTGCGAGAACGGGTTGCGTACAGCTAGCCAAACCCCGAGGATCCAGGAGATAAGCCACTCGAAGGGACCAACTCCAAAGGTCAAGGACCTAAGAGAATCCCCGTGATTCCGGCAATGAACCACCGAAAAACGGTTCGAATGGAGCTGGATGGGAGAGCCCCGAGTGACCCGAACCCTCCGAAGCACAAACCAGACAGCCACGAACTCCCGAACTGTGCTGTGAGCCCGACGGATGGACGAACCCCCACCATCCTTGGCAACACTTCTGGAGGGAAGGACAAAGAAGCGGTCCAAGAGTCCTAAACAAGACCCAGCCAGGTCCGAACCTGGGACCTAACCAGTTGGAGTGTCCTCCAGATCACCAGGAATCCGAACCCGGCAATCTGGAAAGAACCACGCCCCTGGCGAGCAGACATGCGAACCGAGTGGCAGCCCACACCAGCCAGTCGTCAAAGTAGGCCAGAAACCGAATCCCAAGCAGATGCAGACAAGTCACCAAGATCCGGTAAAGATGCGTAAATACACTAAGTGCCAATTACAAACTAGGGAAGGCAACAAAAGCGGCAAGCCTGAAGCCCCACCACCAACTGTGCCAATCCTGGAACCCTAGAGGGGAACATGCGAAGAAGTGACCCGGAGGTCCAGGAACACCATCCAGGCACCCAGCCCCAACAGAAGCCGGACCGGAGACAACAGTCTTCCGAAGAGGGCAAAGAATCCAGGACGCAGACTGCATAAGTCCAGAAGACTGAAGCAGTACCTTGCAGTACCTCGCAGTACCTCGGTTAGCAGTACCTCACCTGGGCTTTCCTTAGCAGTCAGCCTAAGGGCTCTGGGAAACCCTCTTTGGGGCTCAGTGGTCCAATGTAGGAGATTTCCGAGTCGCACCTCGCCTTGTGCGAGTTTGAAGGTTGCTCTGTCCCCTTGTCTCGGGGTGACACTCACCGTCTGCCTCAGCCTTGCTTCCTGTTAGGGTCAATGACACCTATGACCCGGAGTTCTGCGAGTGGTGTTCTTTGCTTGTACTCCATTCACCTGTAGTAAGTACAAACGATATACTCACTACAGTCTCATTATCTTCATGGCATAACTAATTAGCACTAACGACACAAGCTATAATCCTATCCCTATTTACAGGTAACATGCTTTCCATCCTGGTTGGAGGAGGCTGAGGTGTAGTCACCGAATATAAGCAAGCGAATTGCAAATAGTCAACAGTACAATTTTCACAGTGATTCAGATAACTCCGGTACAGACACTTTGGATTTACCTCACCTCTTCAACCTGAAGAATGTAGCACTTGGTGTGTACAGTTCTAATCGACCTTAAGACGTTACAAGCTTTGACACAGAGCAGACAGCAGACTACAACCGCATCAAG